TAGGAAGGCATTCTTGAGTGATGGAATTTTGATTAAGCAAGTGGCCAAGGACAAAGGGTTAAATATGCAGCGTTTTCCTGCCATTTTCCAGTCTTTGCAACCAACCCTCACCCTACCCCACTCCAATGCACTCCAGCATTAAGCTGGTTTGCCCTTGAACCCTCTTCTTGAAATTAGTGAGAGGATTCAATCAAGCCCACTTTTGTTTTTCATTTGGGCTTTAAAACAACCCTGCTCAAGTTAATACACAACCATGCACTATAATTTGGATTGACACATCTCAAATTACAGCCACCCCATACAGGAGAGGGCCTATAGGCGTCTGATATAGGAAGTTGTAAATGGTTAAATATTTACTTTGTTAGTATTGTGCTTATATTGCTCTTATAAGAGCCCACACTGCGATAAAATCAGTCTTGACGGTGCTGCAATACCTTTGTTTTTGTCAACTTAGTGAAACAGACTAACATGATTCTTTGAACAAAATGTTTGGGGAAAGGCACCTGAGGATTTTCTAGCTCAGGACAGGAGCCAATATAGCATGACTGGCCCTGGGAGCTATAATGTCCTATGCTTGGCATTGGGGCTTTTGAAGTTCTAGTTAGACAGGAAATAGCTTTCATCAACCCCCACTCAGGTCACTTAACCGATTGCATAAACCTCCTACATCTGGCAGGGAGAAAGAAGTACATTTGCTTAAGGGAACCTGAGCAAAGGTGACAGTAGAGGGAGGGTGCTGCTATGTCAGCAAGCAAGCTACTGGTGTATCTCTCCTTATGGAAATAGTATTGAAATATGCAGTTGGGTGCACCTTTTTCCATGTTTAATTGTTATATTAATAAGGAATGAGGAATTTATATAGGTTGTATAGGGACATACATACATACATACATACATACATACATATGTGTAAGATAGATATATATATAGGATAGATAGATAGATAGATAGATATAGATATAGATATAGATATAGATATAAATATAGATATAGGTGAATAAGGAATTTATATAGGTTGTCACAAAGACTCCTTTGTTGCAGGACTGACCCTGCCATTAAACAAATTCAGGCCATCACTTCAGGTGGCAGATTCTGGAGAGTCACCAGTTGGCTTCAGAGTAGACTAGGAGTTTGAACATGAGTCTTTCTGCTTCAGTACTCTAATTCCTCAGAAAGTGACAGGAGGATTGAACTTTAGGTTTCTATGCTCTGAGGTCCACCCAGTCAACTGGAGGCAGGTGAAAGAAAAATGATGGCCCAGCCTGGTGGGCATTTGCTAAGAATGAAACAGGGTACCTATCTCATTCAGCAATGCATGCTGTGTTTTCATTACCAAGTACTGTAGTAACCAGTTGATGTTGCCTCTGCAAGGTGACTGTTGCCCATAGCAGTTTGTTTTACTGTAGCACTGTCTGCCGCATCATGTCTAGCCTTTCCCAGAACCCACTAGGAACGGCTTGAAGGGACTCAAGTCGGATCTAGGTGCCTGGTATCTTCATGTCACTATTCTTGG